TCTCTCTCTCTCTCTCTCTCTCTCTCTCTCTCTCTCTCTCTCTCTCTCTTCTCGCTCTCTCTGTATATATACAACATTATAGAATACAGACATCCCATCTCTATTCTATATAGGCTCTGCAGGATTTCTCATTCTTTATGTTTGTCTTACATTCCCTTCTCTCCCTGTAATAAGTACCCTGACATAGCCAACTTAAAGGAAGGATTTATTTTGATTCACATTCACATTAAATAATGAAATGATAAAAGTAAACTTCAGCAAACATTTATTTTCTTATTATTTTTGGTTAAAATTATTTGTTTTTAAACATTTCATTAAATCTTTGTGAATTTTATATCAGGAACCCCAATCCCCCTCATCCCTCCTTCCCCTGCCGTCTTCCCCTGACAAAGAAAAATAAACCTTGCTGTGGAAGCATGATTTGTCACAGTGTGTCCCACAGTATACTGCTTTTTCTAGACTTCTTTGTTTGCAGATGTTAACTGAAATGTGTTCTTAATCTAGTACCAAGGCCTCTGACTTCTGCTACACTTTCATTTCCAGAACCTCGCTGGAGCTACTCTCAGATTTAATACTGATGCTCTGTGTCTTGGAGATCCTGTAATTTTGGATTTGTGGAACCTGCTCCTTCGTGCACTCTTGCCCTCCCCTGGCTGGCCCAGCGAATGCTGCAGGCAACAAGGGACAGAACCCGCTCCCCTGCTCTCACATCTTCAGGTTTGGCTCACCTGTGCCCACACCATCAGATTCAGTTCTTCTGTGCTAACTAGGCTCAATTTTCAGAGGGCTGCAACAGGCTAGGCTGGCTTTATGCTCACTTACTCCCACACCCTGGAGGCATGCTGCTCGGGCAAGGAGCAGGGCCCACTATCACAAATGTAGCAGTCAGTGAGAGCTTTCCTTTCATGCCTTCAGGACCAGCTCTCCCATGATTGCCAGGCAACTGTTACGGCCAGAACTGTATAACCCTCAGACACCAACATATTCCCAGGCAGCAACCCATACCAGGGATATAGGCATGACCTTTAGGACTAACAGACCCCTGCTGCTACAAGGCCATAGACCCAGACCTGTACTATGGCGGCATACAGGTTCCTGCCATGATCCCAAGTGATATCTCCTGCTATACCCATAAGCTTGTTCCTCACCACCCTTGAGTCTTCCGTTCTCTTTCTTCATTGTACCTTTGTCTTCATCTTTCTTTTCTTTCTGTCCATTTTTCCACCACTAACATGCCCCTCTTCATGGTGATGAGGTTCCCCGAGTGTCTGGGGTCATCTCGGGAGTTGTCTCCGAAATCTGATGTTCTGTACCCATGTATTATGACACTTAGAAAGGATCATCAAAAGCATAATTTGCTCCCCAAAGCCTACATAGTGCCAGAATGGTGGTAATCTTAGGCTACCTCTCTGTCTGGGTGCCATGGCACCAGACTGGTGGTCTTCTTGTGCTTGGTCCTTGCCCAGGTCTGTCTGTATGACCCTATGCAAAGGCCATCTATCTAAGGCTCACATCCACCCAGGGCCCGAAGTCCAAGTTGAGGTTCTTCTAGCCCCTGACTTATACCATGATTTAGGAGCTGGTCAGGATCTGTGTGAAACTCCATGCTTTGAAAGCCCTTTGGGACTGCTGTTATCTTGTGTTAGACTCCTATACCAGCTTAACTCAGACTCCTTTCCCAACCTCCCCCTTCCCCCGGTTTAGTTACATTACTAAACATTCAGATGTTTATAGGTCAGAACACTGAACATAGACATAGCCTCACTCCTCTCTGCCACCTAATGATATACACGTGACACACTGCAGCCACACCTGCAAAGCCTCTAGGGGCAAGTGAAATCTATTATTCAAATATGTTAATATCAGCAGATGGGGATATGCACATCACTTAGAGTAATTTCACTGAACTTTTATTGCCAGTTTTTTTTTTTTAATTTAACAATGCACATGAGGATGATACTGAATTTCTGATCCTTCTGCTCATCAAGGGCTGGAATTATATTATATGTCATTTAGGCAGTACTGGACTCTAACCTAGGATGTCAAGTCTTCTTGACAAGAGTTTCACTAACTGTCTAAATATCTAAAAAACAAGTATAAAAAAGTGTGAGAAAAAAGTATAAAAAAGTGTGTGAAAAGAGAGGAAAAGTGTGGGTAATCTCTTGAAGATGTAGCTTACCTATCATTTCTCTCACTTGAAACTATTAATGATTTTTTAAACAGTTATTAAATAACTGTCATCAAAGGATACAATTATTTTCCAAATTCTAGTACAAATTCTACAGAAGTAAATTATTTAAGGGTTCTGAAATTACTTATTCTGATATGGTAATTCACCTTACATTGTTCTAAAATTTATTTTTGAATAAAGGGACTCAAAGCAACCTAATAGGTTTTGGTATTTGAAGGAACTGAAAGCATTACAAATTCTTTCTAACATAAAATTACACATTTTTAGGTCATTATAGTATTAGATGTTTTCTGCCAGATGAAATGACATGTTTAAGTGACTTTGTTTTTACACTGTGTTAAACGATGCATTTGATTTTAGATTATTACTTAGTGAACAATAGAATTTGTCAACAGTACTGTGTAGTGTTATATTATGTTTGTTTTAACTATTCCCATCGGGATTGCTCTGGCCTATAATCTGAAACTTTATTCTACATAATTTTTCATCTAAAATGCTGCGTATTAAAATTGCATGCACCGTATGCTAAGAGAAATATTTTCCTTTCAAATCTAGAACTAAATCTTGTAAACACTGTATTTTTAATAACTTATGAATATTCAAATAGTTACAGAGACTCTTCAAGAATATTTTTCAGCCTTCATGTTAATATTATTATATGTTTATTTTAAAATGAAAACAAAACTATTATTATATCCAAAGCTGACTGAGAAGTTATAAGAAAGTAAAGTATAAGCCAACAATAAATGAACATTTCTAAATATTGATTAATGATTTCAAAAAATTCACGACTATAAAGACTTTGCTTAACAGTTTTAAGCTATGATAAATTATTTTATCATGGCAAAACTTCCATTTCTTTAACCGAAGTCCTGATTTACTATGAGAAAATCAATATTTATAACTTAAAACACTACAAAGTGATTTTAACAATTTTACATCATTTTACATTTTTGTAATTATCATGCACATTTGTCCACCTATATTGGTTGGTTGAGGTATTGCTCAGTTTTTCAAAATTTACTTAAAATGCATAAAGTCCTGGGTTTAAGTCCAGTACTACATAATTGTATATAATAGGAGTGTAATTGCAGCCTTTGAGAGTCAGTGGATCAGAAGTTAGAAATCAAGCCCAGAAGCACACACACACACACACACACACACACACACACATAGGCTTATGATATATATATATATATATATATATATATATATATATATGTGTGTGTGTGTAATATATGTATGTGTGTGTGTATATTTTTAAATATGTACATGTGTGTGTGTCTGTGCTATATATATGTGTGTGTCTCTGTGTGTGTTCACACATGTTTAAGTGTGTGGGAATAGTGCACATAAGTGCAAAAATTAGTTCAGAAAAATTGTTCTACAAGTCTGAAACAAATTTTATTGGGTCTTAGTATGAATGAACTAAGTCTTGTAAGAAGAATTTGTGAAGAATTATTTTTATCATATTTCACTAGCTTTTATGACCAAATTTCTCAAATTTATATTAATGGATATGTGGCCAATGGTGGTGATGATGATGATACATATATATGATATATATACATATATACATATACGATACATATGTATACACATATACACATACACATATGCACATATACATATGTATATATTTGAAAGTTCTATCACTATAAATTATAGTTATTTTGAAACTTTGTGTATTGTTATATAAATACACTTTATTTAACCCTTTAAGATTGGTGAATATTTAACATTATAAGTGTTTGTGAATGGGAAATAATAATTTTCTTATTTCATGATTCTTAAACGGGGCCTGTCATTGGTTTGCCCTTCCCTTACTCTGCTCAGCTGTATACCTTGCACATCTTGTAGCCAGGGCGAATTGTGGGTCTACGGTTTTATGCCTGGGTTGGCATCTCAGTGGAGATGGCACACCATATCCTCCACTACCAGGACTCTTATCAAGGGTAACCCAATAGTTTGATAAAAGTTTCCATTGTCCTAGATTTCTAGCTTCTCCCAGAGATGTCCCCCATACTCCAAAAGTCTTTTCTAATACTCTCTCTTTGTATCTTCCCTCTACCTTATCCCTGTCTCCATCTCCATCCTCTCCCCCACCCAGTTACTTGCCTCCATCACCCTGATATGTAGTCTTTTTCCCTTTTCACTGAGATTTCAGCATCTCTCTTTGATCACATTCCTGACAGTATTAATAATATCTGCTATAATTTCAGAAAGGGGTCTAGCATAAATGTAATCAGAGAGGTTTATCCCAGCTAATGATAGAAACTAATGCAGAGACCCACAGTCAAATATTAATTAGAGATTGGGGAATCCCATGGAGGAGGTGGAAGGAGGATTGAGTAAGACAGAGGAGTCAAGAATACCATAAGAAAATCTACAGAATCAACTAACCTAGGCCTATAGGAACATATAATATAAAGACTGAACTGCCAGCCAGAGAGCATGCATGGGACCAAAGCAGGCCTTCTGCACATATGTAATGGTTGTGTAGTTGGGTCCTCACATAGGACGCTTAAAGCAGGAGCAGTGGCTGTCTCTGATTACATTGACTGACTTAGAATCTCTTTCCTCTAACTGGGATGCCTTGTTTATTCTCAAAAGGTAAATATTCCTAGTCTTAGTTTCACTTGCTATGCCAAGACTGGTTGATATCGATGGGAGGCCTCCCCTTTTTTGAGAAGGAAAGTAGTGTTGGATGGGGAAGAGAGAGATGAGAACACAAGACTTGGGAGCGAGTCGGGAGGGTAAGCTGCAAATGGGATGTGAAGTAAATAAATAACAGCAAATTTCTTAAATAAAAAATATTAATAACTCAAAGAAATTCTCCATTACAGCTTTGTCTGTAAAGAACATTCACTTTGAGGATATGTCACCATACTGAAAATGTTGATATAAGGTATTCATCTGTTTAGAGAGAAACTAATTGACTTCAACATTTTGATCACCGGTAGCAGATAATTCCAATGAAAATTAAAATAAGAAAAACAAAATACAGTTATCTAAATTTGATAGATGGAAAAACAAGTTGTACACTGAATATAATACAAATAGATGTCCAATATAAAGTCTACAATTTTAAAGGATCCACTGTGGTGGGACAGGTTATTCTTTATGCCATCCCCACATAAGGTATTGGACAATAAGCACACAAAAAGAAAAAAATCTCATATACACACACACTATCAGCTAGATTTAGTGGAAATAGAACGTAAAAAAAAATACACTTCCTAAACAACAAAAAAATAATCCTCTAAAGTGATGTATGAAGTTAAAAGTAAATTTAAAAGGTGATCTGGAGAGCCAGTGATATGTATAAGCAGTTAAGTACACTTAGTACTCTTAAAAAGCCAAGATTCATTTCATAGCTCTCACACGGTAGCTCACTACTGTCTGTAATTCAGATTCTAAGGATTCCTATGCCTATTTCTAATCTCTGTAGGTGGAAACACTCATGAGTATGTTGGAAATAAAACTCATACATATATATGTACACAATTCCCAGGTTTGATTTTTTAATATATTTTTTACACATTCACTTTACATCCTACTTAGGACCCCCTCCCAGCCACTCTCTCCTTGAATCCTACCCCCTACTAATGAAGTATATGGATATCTTTTACATTTTCTGACTTTATATTGATTTAAAGGATTAAAAATTATTCTATTTTGTCTCTTCTTAAACTCAAACATACAAGTATAAATATGTTTATCAAATAATTGGTAGCTAGATCAAATACCTTTAAAAATTTCAGACAATTAAGTTCTCTACATATTCTTTAGTATATAGCAAGGACGCTTTAAGAAATGTTGCACTGTATTCAACTCATTTTCAAAGTATTATACTAGTCTTTTAAATTATAGATTTACTTCTGTGACTAAACTTTCTATGCTGAAATAGGTAAAAATAATTTTTAAGGACAATTTGACTTTTGCTATTTTGTTGGCTAAGTTGTGAAACAACATAAATACTCAAATCCTGTAAAGAAAAGGTGACTTCTTTGTAAATCTGTCTTAAGGTCAGCTCTTGTTCTTGATAACGTGAAATGCACTTGGCCTTGAGAGTCTGCAAACTGAAGAGCCTGTAACTGTCTATACATGTTGCCTGGAAGTACATTTAATAAGAAATGTGTTCCTTTCACCCGAAAATTGCATTCTTTATTTTTATATCTTCCTTTGATTATATATTCTTATAATACTATTTCTGAAGTTTTGCAGTTGTTGATTTATTTAGAACAAAATACAATAAGTTATAAAATATTTTTATAACTATGAGCGGAACATACATGCATTAAAGTATAACTACACAAATTGTTTGTTTTTACAAATCATTGAATTCAAGGGGATTGTAGCACTTAGCTTACGAATTGTGTTATTTAGCTTAGTGTTGTGTCATATGGCTATAGCCATAGCACACGGGAGATAGAGGCAAGAAGATCAGAAGTTTAAGTATGAAATAGAGGAAAAATGATAGACTTCACAGTATGTAACTGGTGAAGATGGCATTTCAAACTTGTAATATCAGCACTGGGACCTCGAAGACAGGAGGACAAGCTCAAGGCCAGCCTGTGCTAACCATTAAGGATTTTTTGTCTCAAGTCAAATGATATAAACCATAAGATGTATATGGTAGA